GTGAAAAAAACAGATGACAGAGCTAGACTAGCTGTACTTTGTATATATATCCTCAAACTAATTTCCGCTCCAGTCCATCTGATGAAGTGGGTTTTACCCTCAAAAGCTTATGCCTTACTAGCCCTAATAGGGCCCTTATGCTCTGTTAGTCTCAGAGGGTACGTCTAGACTACATGGCTCCATCGACAGAGCCATGTAAAATAGTTTACTCGGCATAATCAAAGAAGTGGGGATTTAAATAATCCCCGCTTCATTAAAATAAAAATGGCTACTAAGCTGTGCAGATGATCAGCTGATCCGGCACAGCGCGGCAGTCAAGACGCGGCGTGGTCGACAAGGGAAGCCTTTGTCAACCGCTCCGGTAAACCTCGTTTCACGATAAATGCAGGAGTAAGGGCCAGCAAAAGTACCCCAAAACCTTATCTACCAGGCTTTGGTATAAAAATTCCCCCCGAAATCTTAACAACTTAGATTTTGGGGATAAAATCTCTGCTGTCACCACCCAAGTATTGATACAAAAATCAGGGGAGAGATCACTTGGGAAATGTCACCCCTAACGTACAAACCAGGACTCAAAAATTAACCAATACCAGGTTAATAAAAATAAAAGAGAACTTTTATCATCACCACAATATTCCTGTTGCGAGCACCATGACTAGATGGAAAAGGAACAAAATAATATACTCATGGAGAAACTCCACCATGGGCCTAGAACTTGGTTACAAAGGAAAGCCAAAACATTTTTTAAAAGTACACAGATATCAGATCTCATTTTCCAAACCATAAAACAATAAAACCTAATGGATTTATCTAAACTTTACCCTACTTACAGAAAGTGAAGAATGGTTTCTTGGAGAGAGAGACATGTCTGTCTGTCTCTGAGTAACTGAAGTGGAACTACGCAGGACAAAGGAGGGGAAAAAACCAAAATTCCTTTGTCCCTATTTGAAATTCCTACCTACATTCCTATTGGCCAACTCTACCTGAGTTAGATATAGATAATCCCTTAGTCCCCAGGCTGTTGGCTAAACCTCATGATCATGACACCTCAATTTTTCTCCTTCTCTCCCCTTCCCGGCTCCTTCCTTTATTTATTCTTAGATCTGGACTTCTAATACTCCTGTCATCTGAAGAAGTGGGTTGTGCCCACCAAAGCTAATGATACCATCTATATGTTTTGTTAGTCTTTAAGGTGCTGCTAGACTATTGGTTGTTTTTAAGTTTTTCCAAAACACAGTTCATCATCTTGTAAGAGCAAAGTATAGATTTTGTTCCTAAATGTATCTGACCTTGCATTTGGTTGCAAGATTTTGCTTTGTCTAGAATGATTTAATTGGGATTGGTCCTCCTTTTACCAGGGGGCTGGACTCAATGACCTCCTGAGGTTTCTTTCAACCTTATGCTTCTATGAAAACATGTAGTTCAAGGGGCACCCTGAAGATAGGGAGGTGGGGTAGGCTCTTATTTAATCACAGGATAGATCACAGTATAGATTTAAGCTTATTTAGATCACAGTATAGATCACAGTATAGATTTGACCTAGCTTATTTAGATCACAGTATAGATTTGATCTATCCTTATAATTATTTATCTCACTACCAATTTTAGGTTCTATGCTATTTTACTGGTAAATGATTTTATATTTTCTTCAAGATCATCAATGAAAAGTTGAATAGAATTGGGCCAAGATCAGATTCCAGAAAAAGCCCTTCAGCCAATTCTTGGGTGCAAACTATCCATTCCTACCAATTTAAAACATTTAACTGCCTGTCAATTTAAAACATTTAACTGTTCTTCAACTTCCTGCCTATTTACTGTTGGAATAGAAAGTATATCATTGTTACTGTAAGATATGACTATACCTGTCAGCTTCTTTGCAAATATTTATTGAAGCCTTATGCTTTTTTTTACAGCATTAGTCGCAATTTTACAATCTCCACCTAGTAACAGAACTATACCATGGCTAGGGTAATTTTCTACCTAACTAAAAAAATCATATTGTCTTTAACACAAGTGGCTAAAGATCTTTCCTTGATAACTTTAATTTCCTTTACCCACTGGCTACATTTCATGTACATTGCTGCTTCTTCCTTGCTTACATAACATCATTAGTCAGATAAGGGCAATCCAGGAAAAATAATTCTCTGATGTCATAGAAATGTAAATGGATTCACAGAATTACCATCTTTTGAAAGGATTTGCAGTTTACTTCAGACTCAAACCCTGTTTTATTCAAAAGAGGAAAACCATAAATTTTCAAGCCAAGTTTCCTGCGGTTCCATAAAGTTTGTTTACAGCCACCAGTCCTGGCTCTGTGTTCTGTGCTGTTATTTAATTCTAATTGACCCCTAATGTCTTCTAAGAACCCAGTAAGCAGTGGAAGTGTTGGTAATGCTGCTAGACAATATTGATCCCCATGGTTCGGCACCGGTCAGGTCCCGAGGGTGCCAAACTGGAGAGGTTCAGCCTGCAATAACAAACAAATAGGTATGAACAACCGCACCTAAAGTGCAACATGAATGTAAAATTTCTGTCAGTGGAAGCAAATTGGATTTATAAATGTAATACAATTGTCAGTTCTCTACTGTTCTTTTAATTCTTGAAAGCGGTTCCTGTCTTTCCAGCCCTTCAGATATAACCCAGTGTCACGGCATATCGGGGAGTCCCCAACCCTGCAGCCCCATTCATGGGTAGATGTGACTGTTAGCCAGCAAGTAGAACAAAAGGTTTATTGGTTCACAGGCACACAGCGTAGGATAAGATCAATGTTAACACAGTACCAAGAGCAGGCAGCATTGTTCCTCTCGGGGAGAAGGGATCCCAGGCCCTTCTCCCCCCTCTTCCTGCTCTAAGATCCTTCTCTCATCCTAACCCAGCTGAGACTGACCCATCCCCCAGGCCCTATTTCCCAGCCTGGAGTCAGTCCCGCCTATCCTTTGTCCTGCTTCCAGGCCCAAGTGTTATTTGCTGTCACCTGGTCCTCAGGACTTGAGAGACTGACATACTTTCACAGTGAGTCACACCCAGCCCCCCCTCCTTATGCAGACAGTGCTGCAGTGCCCAGAGGAGAGTGAGGCACACTCACACATGCACACACAGCACAATACAGCAAAGAGTGAATATAACAACAGTGAACACAGGACTACAAGAATGAACAACACCCCCACGATGTCACATCCAATCCTGGCACTGCTGCTTCTCTTCTAAATTCCCAAGCTGATCCTCCAGCTTCTGCTCCTCCTGCCATCCTGCAGTGTGCATTTATATGTTTTGTTCGGCATTAAAACTCAACAAATATTTCTTTGTATATGAATGCATGTGTCCATACAAATACATAATAATATGGGCTCCATCGAAACCCAAGCATCCAAGTATCCATCTTTAATACATATATTATGACCTCATATGAGAAGGAATGTTCTATTAGAGCAGCAATGAGCAACATAGGCTAGTGAGTGGGCTGCATGAGTGGCTCTCCATCTCAGTGGGCTTCAAGATAGTCACAACCAAGACAATCTCCCAGGATAAGTGTTTTTTGCTAACTCCACTTGGATACCTAGAATTTGTGGGATATGCTAATTGAGTACAGGCAGTCCCCGGGTTACGTACAAGATAGGGACTGTAGGTTTGTTCTTAAGTTGAATTTGTATGTAAGTCAGAACTGGCGTCCAGATTCAGCCGCTGCTGAAACTGACCAGTGGCTGACTACAGGAAGCCCGAGGCAGAGCTGCTCTGCCCTGGGCTTCTTGGAATCAGCCGCTGATCAGTTTCAACAGCAGCTGAATCTGGATGCCTGGGACAGAGCAGCTGGGGCGCTGCCGGGTAGGTCCCTGCAGCGCCGCATCTCGGTGCTGAGGGGACCAACACGGCAGCACCCCAGCTGCTCTACCCCAGGTGTTCCCAAGTCAGCCCTGCTGAAACTGACCAGCGGCTGACTTGGGGACGCCTGGGGCAGAGCAGATGGGGTGCTGCCGGGTTGGTCCAGTAGCACCCAGGAGCAGCGCTGCGGGACCAACCCAGCAGTGCCCTAGCTGCTCTACCCCAGGCGTCGGCAAGAAAAGCCTGGTCTGCTGGAGGGCGGGGGGGTGCACTAGCTAACTCGTGCGCCCCCCCCCCCAGCAGACCAGGGAGATGCAGAGCAGCTTTTCTCGCCGTGGAGGATGCGGGCGGCGGGACTGCCCACTTCCTCCGCGGCGAGAAAAGCCGCTCTGCGTCTCCCTAGTCTGCTGGGGGGGGCCCCCAGCAGACCAGGGCGACACGGAGCAAAGCCCGCAGCGAGAAAAGCCTGGTCTGCTGGAGGGCGGGGGGGTGCACTAGCTAACTCGTGCGCCCCCCCCCCCAGCAGACCAGGGAGATGCAGAGCAGCTTTTCTCGCCGTGGAGGATGCGGGCGGCGGGACTGCCCACTTCCTCCGCGGCGAGAAAAGCCGCTCTGCGTCTCCCTAGTCTGCTGGGGGGGGCCCCCAGCAGACCAGGGCGACACGGAGCAAAGCCCGCAGCGAGAAAAGCCTGGTCTGCTGGGGGGGGCCACACCTAGTGCGCCCCCCCCCCAGCAGAACAGGCTTTTCTCGCCGCAAAGGACGCGGGTGGCCCTGCCGCCCGCGTCCTCCACGGCGAGAAAAGCTGCTCCGCGTCTCCCTAGTCTTCTGGGGGGCCCCCCAGCCCACCAGGGAGACACGGAGCAAAGCCCACAGTGAGAAAAGCCTGGTCTTCTGGGGGGGGCTGCACTAGCTGCGCTCTGCCCCCCAGCAGACCAGGGAGATGCAGAGCAGCTTTTCTCGCCGTGGAGGACGTGGGTGGTGGGACTGCGGCGCGTCTGGGAAGTCCCGCCACTCCTGTCCTCCACAGTGAGAAAAGCCCCGTTCGTATGTAGGGATCCGACGTAAGTCAGATCCACGTAACTTGGGGACTGCCTGTACTTTGATTGGGTGCAGAGGGAGTTCACAATCAATGTTGTGTGCAGTCAGACACCTCACTTCCTGAGTCCTTGCTTTATATGCATGTCAGTTTAGTAATATGGGTACGAAAAATGCTTTGAGACCCATAAATGAAAAGTGCTGTCTGTGTGAGCTTAGAATGAGTATGGTTTATTATTGAAAGGAGATTCATTTTTGCAATATTTTGTGTCCTACTGAGACACAGTGAATGAGCTCTCAGCTAATGAACACTCAGCTTGTGATTGAGCTGCTTTATTTTGACTGCTAAAGCAGCTCTGAAGTTAACAGCCATGGGACCAAATTCTGTTGTCTGCTAATACTGACAGTGTAATTAGGAGCAAAATTTGCTCCAGGAAGTAAAATCTATTCAAGGAAGGGTAAAGGTCACTGCATACACAATATCAGTCCACTCAGTAATAACATTGCTATTGGAGACATGATGTGGCTTATCATTTGAGATTAATATTCCAATGAGCTTCACTCCCTCTCCATGTTCAGAGTCAGGTTGTGCACAAGTAGCTGCACAGTAGAAACAGTAGGAAGAGACTGTTTGAATACAGTAGTTCTATGGGGCTACTCATCCTGGCTATGGGATCTTCTGGTTGATACCTGAAGGCCGACTAACTTGCATAACACCTCTCCACTTAGATTTACTAATTACTATGAGAAGCATCCTCTCTGTACATTCCAGTTCTGGTAAATTGCAGGAACAGCAAGTACCTGCGGTGTCTCCCGCAGGGAGCACACCTCAGCAGTTCTGAGACCTGTTATGTCTCTCGCAATAATACCAGGCAGGCATTTTCTAGAGGCTGAATGGGATTTGCTTTTCTTTCTTTGTTGACTCAGAAACCTGCATGATTAGGGCTGGTTACTGATGTGAGAATGAGATGCACAGAATTTTGCACATGGATGTGGACACAGCAGCTGCACCTGAACGGCTTTTGGAAAAGTAAGAAAACCCATCAGGGTTATTCAGTGTGATATAGGTCTGTTTAATATAGCAAATTGATATGGTGAAAGGATGACACTTACTGTTTGCAGAAAATGTTGGATTGTATGCACTGTAGTATCTCTGATCTTGTATTTCTTGTGTGGTGAACAGAAAACTGTAAGGGATTCATCAGTTTTTCATAGTGACCCAAAAAACTGATCTTGATATTGTTGTCATAGGGCTATATCTCTAACACAAGAGAGACATGGGAAATAAAGTACAAGCTATAGTAGCATTTATAGCCATGTAGCTCCATTGCATTTTTTTCTTTATTATTACTGCACCAATTTGAGGAAGCTATTATATTTCCAAAGCCTTCTTGCCACAGGGACAGAGAACACTATGTCTTTGCAAAACTTAGTATTATGATAACTTTAAACTAATTTTGCTTGTTCTCACTATTTGTTTTGCTCGACAAATGCAAAGATTTTTTTAAAAATCTGGATTTTTAATGTAAACTTTTTTCTCAATTTTCCCTATGAGAGGTGACTATTTAAGCATTCAATAGAGAGCTTTTGAGAGGTATTTTGCTTGTCCGGAGAGGTTATTAGATCATTTAAAAAAAAAGACAAGGAAAAGAAACACTTCATTCATCAACTCCATCTTTACATACACTGTTGGACTTTTCTAGTTTATTCTATTTTTGACTGCTTTGCTTAGTCTAATTTTAATGGTCCCAATCAAGTCAGCTTCCCCCACTCCTTAGAAGATTTGTATATAATATGTTTATCATTGTTAAGAAACTTAATTCTAGTCTAGGAGAAAGGCATGAAGGGATTACTCTATAAATTATTTGGTATAATGATCAGACACGTCTACATTTAGCTCACATCAGGCCCAGTCTTGCCACAGAAGCACAAGTAATACTTCTTCACACAAGTAATACTGTTGATTTCAATAGGATCATTTGTGAGGATTGGAATGTCAATGGGATCATTTGTGTTAATTGGATTCACGAGTTAAATGCCTTCAAGATTGGGCCCTTAATTAAATTGATTTCTGCTTTATCATAGTTAGATGCTATAAGGCTTGTAAATAATAGGAGTTAATTGACACAGTTTGTCAGAATGATTTTAAAATCAATGGCTTCTCATCAATATTATGGATTAAAAATAAAACAACCTTAGTCTCATGTGAAATTTCTTTCTCCACATGTACTGTCACATATTGTATACACATATCATATAAGCATATAATATATAATTAGCCACCTTCTGACATTCCCTATGGGTTATACTTTAACAAAACTTCAGGCTTAAATATTCAGCACATATATAGGCAAATGCAGCTCCACAGATGTATTTGGCCCCGGGTTTTCAGTTACATTCTAATCAAGCACTCAGAAAAAGGCAACCAGAATCTTTTGCTACTGGAAATAACTTCTAAAACAGTATCTCCTAACATGATTGCTGATTTCCCTTGTAAAAAGGCAGATGTCAATGGGGCTCCAGCTAAGCACTGCAGCACATATGGGATTGGGCCTTAAGTGCAATTATCGGACTATTTGGGCTTTTTGCAGTAAACGTATCCAGAAGCTATGGACTCTCACAGTGGGGATTCAGATAGGCAGGGATCTTAGTCCCGGCCATCGGTAATCTCAGAGCTCTTACACTGGCTCCTGGCAATGCCCAGGTGTGTGATCTTCACCCATACAGCAAATTAATGCATAGCTTTTCCACTAGTTTTTTATATCTGAACAGTCACTTTTTCATTGTGTACATTATTATTCTTTGTATTATTCTAGTGCTTAGGAGGATCTGTGGCATAGGAGAAGGGGAAATGTATACGGCCATAGGTACATTTGTCTGCTGCATCCCATATCAGAAATTGAATTGCAATTGGCACAGCTCAGGTTCACGTGGAGCTGTTTGAGATTCTTTTTCATGTGTCCAAAGAATATGAAAACAAAAACGAAGGAAATAAGCAAAAATTATAATTATTTCTTGTTTGTATTGTTCTGAGGAAAAGTAGGATGATGTAGAGGGGGCAACATGGAAGAATTGGAGACGAGGAAAAACAGAAAAGGAAAAATTGCACAAAAACAAATAGGAGGAGCAACAAACAATAAAAAACAAGGGAGCATACAAATAAGAGGCAGGGTATGGTTACACTTCCAGTTGGAAGTATGATTTCCAGGTTGAGGAGACATACTTGTGCTACCTCTCATTGAGCAAGTGAGCTAAACACAAAGGCTACATCTACATTGGCATGATCTGGCGCAAATACTCTTTAACGCAAGAGTTTTTGCGTTAAAGTATTTCTGAACATTTGCACAAGAGGGCTTATTCCTGAGCAGGAGCATCATAGTTCTTGCACAAGAAGCACTGATTTCACACATTAGAACGTCAGTGTTCTTGTGCAAGAACTCCCCACCAGTGTAGACAGACAGCTAATTTTTGCACAAAAGTAACTCCTTTTGTGCAAAATCATACCAGTGTAGACGTAGCCAGAGTGTAGGTGCAGCAGTGTGAGCTGTAGAATTGGCTGGCTGCCCACAAGTACTTACGTGCCTCAGGTTTCACATGGATATTTGGAATGAATTGCCTATCCCATGGCTACAACTTGTGCTTAGCTCACTAGCTTGATGAGATATATTGCCAGTATCTCAAAGCGTAGACTTATTTAAACATTTTTAAAGGTCAGATTAGGGTTGCCAAAAGTTCAGTAGTAGAGCAGGGATATGCCCAGGCTCCATGCTGCTCCCAGAAGACGCCAGCACATCCCTGTGTGTCCTAGGGCAGTGCAGGAGTTCTCCATGTGTTGCCCACACCCTCAGTGCTAGCTTCACAGTTCCCATTGGCTAGGAAACATGGCCCATGGTAGCTGTAGAGTCTGTGTCTGCAGGCACTAGCAGCATGAAGAGCCCTCTGACCTCCACCCCCCACAGCTGTGTCTGCCAATTCCAGGAAACTACCTTAGCTCCATTTTGCTTCTGACTGGGAGCCTCCTGAGGCCAGCACTGCCTTGCTGGAGCCTGCACCTTCATCACCTTCTGAATACTGAACCCCCTGCTGCCCTAGCCATAGCCCTTTCCCTGACTCTGCACCCCAAACACCCCACTACCCCAGCCCTGAGCCTTGTCCAGCACCCAAACTCCTTCCCAGAGGTTGCACCCCACACCCTCTCTTAAACCCAAATACCTGCCCCAGTCTCTACCCAGAATCACCTCCCACACTTCAAACCCCGCCCCCCAGTCCCAGCCCAGAGTTGCACCCCAGTTCCCTCCCCGGTGAAAGTAAGGGAGGATAGGGAAGAGTGAGTAACAGAGGGAGAGGATATAGATGGAGTGAGGCCTTGGAGAAGGGATGGGGTGAGGCAAAGGTGTTTGGGTTTGTGTGATTAGACAGTTGGTAACCCTAGGCCAGAGCCAGGGAAATGTTGAGATCAGCCACTTGAGTATCTTCCATGAGTTCCATCTCATTTTCTTATCATGAATCTCATTCAGCAAATGCAATACAATCAAAAGAGCAAAGTACAAGATGAGGAAAGTACAAGTATAAAGCAGGCAGTTAGTTAATATTTGCTCAGTGCTTTCACGATTTAAGACTTGGACAAGTTCTGACTAGTGTTACATGCTTATTAAGCAGGAAGGGCAAAGAAGGTCACAATGGTAAGTGGGGACAGTGCTCCTGTGATAGCTGAATTTGGAATACCTGTAATAAAACATAAAGAAGTAAAAGTAGTAATAAAATTTATGCATTCCAAATTGTTTAATAGACTCCTGATTGAGTCAGTCCTTTTTAGGACAAAAAGGATGTTTTTACATTATTAAAATCCCTTATAGTTAAAATATATCCTGAAAAATAAATGGTCTGGTAGCACTTTATAGACTAACAAAACATGTAGATGGTATCATGAGCTTTCCTGTGCCCACAAAAGCTCATGATATCATCTACATGTTTTGTTAGTCTATAAATTTCTACCAAACCATTTGTTGTTTTTTTCTGAAAAATAAAGATGGAAAGATACTATAGTAGGTCTGAGGCTTTTTCTTTGTGAGATTTATGAGTGTGCACCTTCCTGAATTGCTTGTTTGAACACTAGTGCCTAAGATAGGCAGAGCAAACATATCTGCATACATAAAGAATGAACTACCTGATACATTCCTGTCATTCTCTTTCTAAAATTTACTAAGCCACACTTCTTTAACTTGCTGGAAAGAATATTGTAGGAGACCATATCAAAAGCTTTGCTAAAGTTAAGGTATATCATGTCCTTTGCTTTCCCCATCTGCACAGAGTCAGTTATGTCATCATACAAAGCAGTTAGGTTGGTCTGTCATGAATTGCCCTTGGTGAATCCATGTTGACTGTTCCTGATCACCTTTCTCTCAACTGTCTCACTGAGGTGAGGCTGATCAGTCTGAGGTTCCCTGAATTTTCCTTCTTCTCTTTTTTAAAGTTGGGTGTTACATTTGCCTTTTTCCAGTCATCCAGTACCTCACCTGATCACCACAAGTTTTCAAAGATAATGGCACTGCAATCACATCAACCAACTCTCCCAGCACCCTCAGATGCATTCGATCCAGCCCCTTTTTATATGTTGGTCCCTGGAAAATCCAATTTGAACCAGTACATGCAAACCTCTCTAGGAGCAGGTCTGGTAACAGAGGGAGTTCATTGGCATCCCTCCTTATTAAAGAAAGTACATATAGTTCCACAAAAACACATACAAAATTGCATTTTAATGCACTGTGCTATAGCGTTACTAACCCCAATTCAATAAGGTTTAACTTCATTCAACAGAGTTTAGATTTGTTAAAGATATTACAGGATACTGTCAGTCTGTCACTCACCTGCCTTCTGAAGATTAGGATCCATCAGAGAATCTCAAATTGGTCATCCACAAATTGAAGCAGCAAAATTACCTGTCACTTCTGAAAATCTTGACTATGATATTTGTCTAAACATTGTAGATCTTTCTGTCCTGCAAGGGAAGTTTAGAAAAACACATAAAAG